CATCCAGCCAGATCCTGCTCAAGTCGCCGAGTATTGTCTGCGTTTATTGCTCTCCAAGTGATGGCACTTTACGGAGCCATTTCCCTGTCTTAGTTTCTAGTTCCTAGTCTCAGTTCCTAGTTCTAGTTCTAGTCTTAGTCTAGTCTCGTTTTGTTTCCTGATTTCCTGGTTTCTGATTCTTGGCTTCGTTTCTTGGATTTACCTTTTGCCTTGCTGTTTCGGACTGTGTTTGCCCCTCGCCTGGACTATTGCTCATGTTTACGGATTACCTCTTTTGTCAAGCCCTCTGGATTACGTTCGCTGTCGTCTGACTCAAGCCTGTTTTGGATTGCTTTTCTGTCTTGCCTGTGCCATACCTGTTTGCTGTTGTTCGACCCTGCCTGTGTTTTTTGACCATGTTTATTAATAAAAGCTTGCATATGGATCCGCACGCCTCTCGTCGGTTCCGTAACACTTAGACAGTGTGTGGGTCAGCATCTAATTTAAAGGTATTGAGGCTCACTGTCTGGTAGATGATTTATCAAGATATTTTCTGAAGAAAAGTGCAGTGTTTGACCAGGGATATAATTTATGTCAGCCCCTCGCCTGGACTATTGCTCACGTTTACGGGTTACCTCTCTTGTCAAATCCTCTGGATTATGTTCGCTGTCGTCTGACTCAAGCCCGTTTTGTATTGCTCTTTTGTCTTGCCTGTGCCATACCTGTTTGCTGTTGTTCGACCCTGCCTGTGTTTTTTGACCATGTTTATTAATAAAAGCTTGCATATGGATCCGCACGCCTCTCGTCGGTTCCGTAACACTTAGACAGTGTGTGGGTCAGCATCTAATTTAAAGGTATTGAGGCTCACTGTCTGGTAGATGATTTATCAAGATATTTTCTGAAGAAAAGTGCAGTGTTTGACCAGGGATATAATTTATGTCAAATCATGTGATCTGGCACGCAGTGGTGTAATGTAATGAAGTAATAATACTTCGTTACAGTAGCTACTTAAGTATTTTTTGGGAGTATCTGTACTTTTACTTGAGTTTTTATATTTCAGCCAACTTTTACTTTTACTCCACCACATTTCCTAATTAAAATGTATACTTTTACTCCGATACATTTCCCCGAAGCATATTCGTTACTTACTACAAAATAGTCAGAAGTCAGAAAAACACGGACTGCAGGAAAGCAGGTTTGACGAATCAGTGGTCTGGCGTTTGCAAGTTAGACTCCTAAAAACACCTTTGCTCATGTGCAAACAAGTGCGCGCACAACCGCAAATGATTAATTTTCCACTCAAGTCGAGTCTGGGGTGTGCATATGCATATGATAATATGGTAAGTGTCTGACATTATCAATTATATCACCAACTCAAACAAACAGAGACAGAGCATGCACGTGATTAATTAGTCTAATTTATTTAAACTCAAAATTTAAGGCATTCTAAATTGTAGGCGGCAAAAATGCTTCTGTATACTTTTTATACTTGTATAAATTAATGTAGTTAACAATCTATATTACACAAAGAGTACCGTTTTTTTCTGCAGACATCAGTATGATAACTAATTTTTATACAAGTTCAGTAAAGTTAGCAATAAGTGACTTACATTTTAGGCATAATATTGCTTTGTTTCTGCTCAATTTTGCCAAAGAAAATAGTTCCAAACAAAGATCACAGCACTTTATTGTGTCTCTGAGCAATGGACGGTGTTTACTTGTTGAATGAATCAGCTTTTTGAACGAATCGGTTGAATAAATAATTCAGTGATTCACTCATTAACAGAGTTAAATGCTTTCTTCCTGAACGAATTAGACGTTTGAACGAATCGGTTGAATCTCAATGACTCACTCATTCACAGTCACTTGCTGGCAGTTTTAATTTCACATTTCGACAATTTTTTTCATATTTTAAATCATTTCAAATATCAGTATTCAATGTTTTATGTTAAAATTATTATAACAGTATAACTTTTACTTAAGTATGGCTTTCAGGTACTTTATACACCACTGCTGGCACATTATCAGAGTCTACAGATGTTCAATGCTAAAAGCAACACAAAATCACTCCTGTGCTGGACTACCCCCTGGTGGAAATGACTGAGAGAGACAGAAAGAGGAAATGAGTATGTGCACAAACAGAATACATCACTTCAAGCTTTGGCCACCAAAACGTTCAGCCTTTTCTGACTGAGGTTATATCTTTTGTCTTTTCTAATTCACTTTAAAAACAGCCAAAATCTAACAGAATTCTATTGAAAACTTTAAACTATGACCACTAAAATCAGCACAGTACTTCAGGATGTCAGTCTCAAAGGCCTATTTTTAAAAGTTGTCGAAGCTTGTTTTGATGAATGTTCCTGTTTATTTTTTTGTTTTAAATTATTATCTTACTACATTATCAAACAGTATGGGTGAATGGTCCAGCACACTAAAAAGTGCTAAAAATTGCTGATGACACTGATCAAATGGATTTGACAGTTTTGGAATTTAAAAAAGCAAACCTTTGGCCTCACATGCAAATTTGCAGGGGCTTAATTATCCAATATCAGACCGTTTTCTTCTGCCAAGAGATGATGTTGAGTAAATGGAACCATAAAGAGATTTTGCAGCCTGATGCAACATGGCCAACCTTGATGTTTAAATTGTGTATTTTTTCAGAGAAAACCTTCTTCTGTAATCTTTATAATGGGTTGAAGTTTTTGCAGATAAGCAATTTGTGATGATGCATTAGAATAATTGGTCTTCTGTACGTAAATCACACAGCTTAGAGAGCTGGCCAACACAGAGAGCTGGCTGACTACAAGTCTAACCCTCCTATTTGTCTTACTAAAAAAAAAAAAACAGTCATGTGCGTTTCACAAATCTAATGATGCATTCATCTAATATAGCAGTGAAAATCTAGATAATGACCCGATTAAGGAGTATGACAGTAAAATGCACTCTGGGTAATGATTAATTTCCACTGCCAGAGTCAATAAAGCCATTAACGTCACTGATGAGCCAGTTCATTTATCAGCTTCTGTTAAATATCATCATTCCATCAAACAAACATTACTTAATATATGAACAGATATCAAGTAAGCTTGCGTAAGTACCTCCTGCGTCATTAACACAGCTTGAGAGCACTGATGAATCAAAACTTGGTTTCAGCATGCACTTCCCAGAAATATTTTGCTTAAATGGACACCTTTGATTTTGCATGAATGCTGAGAAAAACTTCAGCAGCATGTTTGGAATTCCGAGCCAGTATCGAGTGCTTATCTTGAGAGGAATGCTGACTCACTGCTTCCTGTTTCAGCTGCAGACTGGCAGGCAGGAAACCACAGGAGCAGCTCTTGGGTGTTGGTTGCATTCTCACTCAGTTATCTACAAACATATAAAGCCCCAGGGGTGAGTTTAAGGCAGGGAGTGGAGCTGTATGAATGCTGGGCACTTCTCATATTCATCTGAGCCACCAGAACCAGAACTTTACACTGAGAAATGGGAGAGACGTGCCTCAAAGCATTTTAAATTAAGAGGGTGCCATTTAAAATATCATCTTACAATTACACCTTCTATTAAGCAAACATTTTAAAAGACATGTAAAAAGTGCAAAAATGAAATTACTTTTTTTGCCTTAAGGATTAACACATTGTACATTGATCATACTGATGCTATACACTACTGTTAAATTGTTTGGGGGATGTAAGATTTTATTTTTTTTTTTAATTCAGCAAGCATGCATTAAATTAATCAAAAGTGACAGTAAATACATTTTTGATGTTACAAAAATTTTTTTTTTAAATAAATGCTGTACTTTTGAACTTTCTATTCATCAAAGAATTCTAAAAAAAAAAATTATATCACGTTTTCCACAAAAGTTTTAAGCCGAACAACTGTTTTGATAGTAAGAAATGCCACTTGAGCAGCATATTAGAATGATTTCCGAAGGATCATGTGACTGTGAAAAATGCTATGCTAAAATGCTAAAAAGAACATTATTTGGTGTAATGAAATGTGTTTATGTGGTTTAAGGTTCAAAAAACACATTATTTTCCTTTTAGGAGGGTGTGGCTGACTCTTAACTTTTATAAAGAATATCTCTTTGGATTTGAGACTTTAGTCTTTGCAACTTTACAGATCTTCTTTATGCACCAAGAGCTTGTAACACTCCAAAGAGAAAGGAAAAATTGAAATCGCATCATATGACCCCTTTAAAACGTAATTTTAACTTAATGGGAATGTTTGTCCATCCTTTCATTCCATATGTTTTTGTACATCCCCTTTAAAATAAACTATATAATCTGAATAAATTACATTTGAAAATATATTGAAATAGTTATAGTAATAGTAATACTGCTTCATGATATTACTGTTTTTAATGTATATTTGATCAAATAAATGCAGCCTTGGTGAGGACAGAATAGTTTTTTCAAAAACATTAAAAAATCTTACCAACCACAAACTTTTAAATAGTAGTGTATAATCACATACTCCTTTACTGTGTTACATTCTCACTCTTTAATCTATCCCTGATGAACGGAACATTCACAGTCCGATATCTCAGGAGGAAGTCTAACTAATGACTGTTCATTTGATGGTTTCCTGCATGAAACTTCACTGATCATGTAGTCAGTACATTTAAAACACATTCAAATCATTTCAGAGTTCAAATGAGTCATTGGTAATGTGCAGAAATAATGTTTAATATCTGTGCATGGTTTTATTGAAATTTCCGACTAAGATATAAGAGGATCTTGTTTACTCGCTGATAAAAACCAATGTCATAGCTCTGAATTTTCCAAAAGCTTTATCAGAGAGTTGAAGCGTGTAATTTCTGTGAATAAAATAATCAAATTTAACTGCATAAATAATGACTGGTAAAACACTCCCCCAGTCTTCCAAGTGGTTGGATAAACTGATAGCTCCGCCCCAATCTCATACCATTGGTTAGGCCAACGATGTTGTACTGGGCTGGTCAAATGCTCAAACAAACAGAGCAATGTTCTGACAGCAGCCCAGAGCCACAGTCTTTCAGGGGGATGCAAACAAACGTCATCATTACAGTTGTCTGCATACTTACAGCTGTGATAGAAGAAAGTAACTTATCGAAAAAAGTGCACACTCACCTTTAAAGAATTATGAAATACCTTAAGAAGCCCACGAGATACAACAAATCTAAGAAAAAAAAACTGGAAAAAAAAACTTGACAAAACTGGCATACAGTAAATGTAAAAAAAAAATACTGATATACAAGGATGCATTATTGTTGCTTTAGTATATTCCCCATAATCCATATTTTGGTCCGGAGTTTAGTCCATCCTATCATTCCATATGTTTTTGTGCATCTTGGGCATCCTGAAAAGGTTCAGTTCGTCTATTGGTTCTGCATTGAGGTTATGGGTGCATCTCGTACTGGCCCTCAGTAGCAATGAAAAAGTCATTGAGTATGTCCTGTAGGTGGTCAAAGGTGGGCCTGTCCTCTGGCCTATCCTTCCAGCACTTCAGCATGATGTCATAAAGCTCTTCTGGACATCCATCTGGAGACGGCATCCTGTAGTAACTGTCAAGGTTACGGATCACCTCTGGATTCGTCATGCCTGAAATTGTGAGGAAAGCCCAGCCAGGTTATTAAAGATCTACCCATCTATTCTACACTGTTCTGAATGGAAAACGAAACCCAAGAGAGAAAAGCCCATTACCTGGATACGGTACTCTGCCGTATGTGACAATCTCTGTCAAAAGAACTCCAAAGGACCACACGTCTGACTTGATGGTGAAAGTACCAAAGTTGATGGCCTCAGGGGCCGTCCATTTAATAGGGAACTTTGCACCTGATCGGTAAAAAAGATGCGATGACAGGCGATAAATGGGGTTTTTGTAAAGGTGGTGCGCAAGCATGGAAAATTTGTATTTTGCAAAAGTTTATTAATGATCCAAAAATACTATAAATAAAGCCTAAAGTAAAGAAGAATCTGCCTTTATGTGGTAAAAACAGACAACACTGAAATTTCATCACGGAAAGAAGCTGTTTTTGAATATCAGTAACTCCCAACACCAACCTTAAAGGTCAGATATGTCAGATCATCACATTAGAAATCAAATGTCAGCACTGACTGGTGCCAATGAATCTGTGGCAATGGAAAAAACACTGCACTGTAGGAATAAATTAGTGTACTCACCTTCTTGTGCAGTGTATTCAGATTCTATGATCCTGGCAAGGCCAAAGTCTGCTATTTTACAGTGCAGGGTCTCAGAGACTAGAATATTAGCGGCACGCACATCTCTGTGGATGTAGTTTTTTCTCTCTATGAAAGCCATTCCCTCTGCAATCTGTTACATAGAGAGAAATTAAACTGAATATAATATGGGCTATATGTGGAATACTTGGTAATTTTTAAAATGCAGTTTCTCAAATACTTTGTTCAAAAAAATTTAACTATAAATTTTGGTTGTCATTGATATTATTAAAAATCGCTCCAAGAAATATTCAGTTACCCAATACCCTGTTCTTTTCATAAAAGCTGATATGGCTTAAAACAACCAAATAAATATACAAAATGATTTATGATTTTTTTTATGATGAACTGAAAAAAAGTTAGCAGCAACATAGTGGGCTCTAACAGGAAGTTTCACAGAGAGCAAGATCACAGTCGTGCATGTTTGGGGCTTCAGGTCGATGGAAAAATGTACGTAATATCCTGCCAGAATATATTCATCTAAATTTGTGGTGGTTGCTAGAAGTGTTCAGATCTAAAAATGTTCAGACCATGAGCTTACAAGACCAAAGACCATTTCCTCTACATATCCCTGACAGTATCTGATGCAAAACAATTCTAAAAATAGTTACAGAAGTTGAAACTGATGTACAGGGGGGTGCATGAATTAACTCTAATTAATGTGCAGGTTTCCATGCAGTGCATTTAAATTTATCATGTTCCATAAAGATTCAAATCTGCCATGCCAGAGAAATAATTAATTGCTACTAAGAAGACAATCAAGTGAAATCATAATAAATTTAATTATTCTTACTTGAGCAGCCATATCAATCAGCTTGGGAAGTTTTAATTTATGGCCATCATCCGTCTTCAGAAAGTCTAACAAGCTTCCTTGAATAGGAAAAGAACAATTGTATAGTTTAGACAGTTATGTCATAATTTGAATAACAAATGATTTAGGACTCTAATAATGTTGTGGTAATACCAACCATTAGCCATGTATTCTGTGACAATATATATGGGTTCTTGGGTGACTACAGCGTGCAGTTTGACCAGTCTCTCATGCTGGAGCTGCTTCATCAGATTAGCCTCCTGTAGGAATGCCTCTGGCTCCATGGTGCCTTCCTTCAAAGTCTTGATGGCAACTTTCTGGGAGTTTTTGTAGTACCCTACAAACAAGAGCCACAGGCACATGCAGGTTCATCAAATAAACTTGTAAAGAAAATCTCATTGATCTATGGCAGCTCAATGAATACAATTGTTAGGACACATATAATTTTAGCCTCATGGTTAGATTGTTAAGAAAGGGCCTAGAATCAGTTATTTATTATCAGGTGTGCTGTAAAAATCAAGTTTTAATCAGTCCTTTTGCCTAGTTTAAAGTAAAAATATGTAAACATATTTTAAAACAGGATATATTTACTGTCTGTTCTTGCTTTAAGCATATACCTTACTAAATATAGTTATATAAAACAAATAAAATCATTAAAAAAAATGAAAATAAAACTATAATACTGTATAAAAAACAACAACAAATAATAATATGAAAACAAATATTATGCCATTCTGCTTCTCAAGTAAATGTGTATGTATGTTAAAAGAATTAAAGAAAGATTTAAAGAAAAATACAAGTTGCAAAGATCTGCAAGAGCGCATACTGTACAGTAGGGGAATATGGATCAGAGGTTTTTTCAACTTCCGATTAATGTTGACCCTGGTGGCCAAAGTCAAAACCTCTTTGACGTTCAATTAAATTATCATTCATGTGGCTAAAATGTGACAATATCACACAAAACCACACGAAACACTGACACACGCCCTTGAACAAACAACTTCAGGGCCAGTATAATAAGAAATTTACTCTGAAGTGAGATGAATACAAAGACATATTGATTTTCGGTCCCATTCTCGCCATTACCAAACAATTAACTATGACTTTTGCCTCAATAAACTCCTAATTTGCTGCTTATTAATAGTTAGTAATGTAGTTGTTAAGTTTAGGTATTGGTTAGGATTAAGGATGTAGAATATGGTCATGCAGAATATGTGCTTTATAAGTACTAATAAACAGCCAATATGTGTATAATGTGCATGCTAATAAGCAACTAGTTGATAGTGAGAATTGGTCACTATACTAAAGTGTTACCTAATTTTCATATTAATTAAATCTCTGATTAAATTTAGTGTCAGATTAAAATGTTTTAATTAAATTTTGAAAAATAATTGTATGTATGTTACATCAAGGCAACACTGCTACAATGAAAAGAAATTCAATCGAAAGATTTTATAGTAGTACTATAGTATTCAGATCTCAAAAATGAAAATCTGTTAGTTTAATTCAATTTTATTAGTGTTTATAAACGGTACTACTGTATCTGTATATCTACTGTAGGTTTTGTAGCTTTTAAATCAAGATAATGAATCTGACTACATATTACACAAAATTAAGAACACTCTCTAATAAACTTAACTCATATTGTTTAGAGCAAAAATATGTGTTGACTAACCATTGTGCCAGAAAAGGAAGAATAAAGATTTGTTACCCAAAGGCAACATTGCGCAATTGAACTTTCTTCCGCTTCTTACCCATCCACACTTCTCCAAACTGGCCGGCACCAAGTTTTTTCACCATTTTCAGAGTCTCTCTGGGAATCTCCCACTCATCTTGAGCCCAGGGTCTCTGAGGGGTAGCAGTTTTACAAGGGCTTCCTAGCCTCTGGCATAAACCATCCGCTGTCCCTTTATGTACAATAAAGGAGTTTGGGAAAACAGAATGTTGAGTGGAGATTATGTCACAAATTTAGGAGCAATTTCTAATTAAACAAGACTAGCATCTACCAATCTGTATGAAATGAAACCATGTTTACTGGTTTTGATTCTGTCTGGAGAAAAGCACTAGATGTGCCCAAACCAAAATGTAGAAAAAGGTTTTTGTTACTTGTAAACAGTTCTATAAAAAGACACAACACACCAAAATGGGCCAAGAGTGCGGAATACGAACTGAGACTGAAGCTGACCTATTTATCTGGTGGTTTAAAGCAACTGTTTTCACAGCTACGACCACAGAAAGTATACAGTGGAAGAAACAGAAAAGGACCTTGATAAAGCAACAGTCTTAGCTCCGAGTACTTACTGGCGTAATACTTTACTAGTTCTTGAAGAGAAGAAAAGGTTGTGGAGGGAGAGATGTAGTAACCACCGTTATCAAGAGCTCGGATCTTATAATGCTTGACTACATCACCTTGCTCTGGGGTGGAGTCTCTTACAGACAGAGAGAAAGCACCTGCAGAGGATCAGAAACAGCTGTTAAATAACATCAGTATGATCAGTATGCTCTTCTAATTTTGAGGAAGAACAGAATCACAGCAAGTTTTTGAAATAGCACACATTAAATGTCATCTGACAGGTATCACTGAAATATGTGTCCTAACAATATGAGAACCAAAACTTGTCGGCCTAGGCTCTGTAAAAAGATAGAAGTAATCAGGGAAGTATTCAATGCCTTTAAGACAACTCTTAGAATCTCTGAATCATTTTGTATGTTCAGGATTTCTCACATCAGGTTTGCTTGTCTTTGAAGAAATGGCTGACATTGCTTATAGAACCTTAAATAGTAACGTCTTTGCTAAACAATAAACAGATATTTTTAATGTATTTAGTGATTTAACAGTGCATTTTAAACACAAAGTATTTTTGTCTTATTTTCCAGAACAAATATCTAAGATACTTTAACTTGAGAAGAAAAATGGCTTAATATAACAAGTATTGTTTTCTGGAAAATGTATCAAAGTTAAGTGACTTTACAACTTAAAACAAGAAAAAATGTGGTAAGAAAAATACGTTTTTTTTCTTTACATTTTTTTTAATTCATATTTTTAATTAATAAATTAATAGGTAATAGGTTTTTTTTTTTTGCAGCGTGTATACATACACAAGCTTA